GGAAGCAGCCCCTTTGTCAGTATTTTATGAAGAAAATATTCTTAAGGATTTTATTTTCTGTTTCTCTGCCGGCGGGCACCATGGCATAACAAATACTGGTTGTAGCAGGCTGAGAAGGAGAGCAAGGTTTTCTAATTGCACCAGCAGTGTGAACCCCAAAGTGGGACTCACATTTCTAGCCCTGCTGGGGAGGCCAAACAATGCCCCAAACCCAGTGTAGTACAGGACGGGCTCTCAGTACCCTCCTGGGCAGTGAAGCTCCTCTGTGGCACCTTTTTCCACCTGTCTGGCTCCGTTGATGGTAGGCAGATTGTCCTAAGTCCTTTTGTTTAAATAACGCCCCTCAAGAGTAATTGCTGCCTGTGGCAGGCAGGAGCAAAGCAAATTGATAGCTGCAGTGATTTTTGAAGGCCAAGGGGATCATGGCCAGTAATTGTTCTTAACTGCTTCCTACCTGGGAAATTGTTTCTGTGGTTGCTGGAATGAGCAGGTCAAGTGAAATTGGGATTTTCGTTTTTCTTCTCTCTTCTCTTCTCTTCTCTTCTCTTCTCTTCTCTTCTCTTCTCTTCTCTTCTCTTCTCTTCTCTTCTCTTCTCTTCTTCTCTTCTCTTCTCTCTCTTCTCTCTTCTCTTCTCTTCTTCTCTTCTCTTCTCTTCTCTTCTCTTCTCTTCTCTTCTCTTCTCTTCTCTCTTCTCTTCTCTTCTCTTCTCTTCTCTTCTCTTCTCTCTTCTCTTCTCTTCTCTTCTCTCTCTTCTCTTCTCTTCTCTTCTCTTCTCTTCTCTTCTCTTCTCTTCTCTTCTCTTCTCTTCTCGTCTCTTCTCTTCTCTTCTCTCTCTATCACTCACACAAGGGACCACCTGTATGCTGTGTTTTGTGGGCAGTGTCCTGTTCTCCCTCCTGTACCAGGAGTGCATTAACAGTGGTGGATGCCTGGTGCTCCTCCCTGGGCTTGCCTGCAGACCTGGTTTCCCTGGAGCCCCGGGATGCCCGCAGCCGCTGCAGTTACTGGCGGTGTGGCCATCATTAGGGATGAAGACACCTGAAGTGTTCTGCATGAGCAACATGAAAAGAGCTCTGATTTTGCCAGTGGAGGCCTGCAGGCTGATGGCAGAGGGGATGCTGGTGCCTTGCCTGGGAGCTGGGGGAACGGGATGCTGTTGATGTGGCCGCATGCTGCGTGCTTGCACCAACCTAGAACCATAGAAGCATTTAGGTTAGAAAGGACAGCTAAGATCATCAAGTCCAGCCACTAATTTAGCAGTGCCAACGTGCAGGTGCACCTGCACAGGAGAAGCTCCTACACCCACCTAGAAGCCCTACTGCTGCACTGCTGTGTGCCAAATCTGCTCCCCGTTCTGGTTACCCGTGGTGCAGGTCAGTGTGATGCCAGCTCTTTGGTGAACGCTTTCACACACCAGTGACACCTTCAGGCTCCCAGAGGGTACTAGAAAGCAAAGCTGGGTTGCCCCAGCAAAAGCAAGGCGATGCAACCTTATGCTAACCCAGGGGTTGCCTCCCACATGTACAAATGCTTCTAGAAAGTCGATGCCTGGTGCCATTTCAAGCCGCAGTCGGAAATTTCGCAGCTTGAGAATTGCCGGTTTTCCACGCTGAATTCTTACAACAGTGACACTTTGCTTGGGGAGTAATTGCAAGTGTTTTACCCAGCAGCTTTTTGTAAAACACATCGAAGATCTCTGGGTGATGGATTTGTTTTCTGTTTGTTTCTCAGGGACTTCTTTACTAGAATGTAGTGTTAACTGGTTATTTATAAACGCAGGCATCTCTCCGTACATTTGATTACTCCTGTGTGTAGACTGATGGAGAAGTTACTGAGTCACTGTCATTTACTGGAGGGGAATGCTTCTATTTTTAATCCTGCATCTTTTTATGGGTGGATGAATGGCAAGCTAATGGTTGTGTTGAAATTTGAATGTCAGAAAACAAGGGAAACTTGTGACTTGCTCATCGTGTTTAACCTGCTATGTTGCATACTCCATCTTGAGTCTTTAAGCATGCCTTTACATGCTATCTATGCATATTTTTGAATTGATTTGATTGCAATTTGTTCCTTTGTAGCAAGCAATATAAAAGAATCTGCCACATTAAAGAGGCTAAACAGGAATTAATTTTACAATAACTTATTTTTCTCATAGGTCTCAATATTTTACTTCTCTCGATTACCCATCTTCTAAGAAACAGACAATTCTCAAGAAATTATCAAAAAAAAACAACATGCTGGACTGATGGCCCAGCTATAGCTGTTAGTTGCAGTAAACAGAATATCCTAAGGGATTTCAGGTTTATTTGCTATGAATAGGATAGACAACACCACAAATAAACCTGCCCTGAGGGTCTGTGTGCCAAAGGAGAGCGCCTGGCCCTTGCCCATGGCACGTGGACACCAGTGGCCGAGATGCAAGGCAATGGCCTCCAGCCCTGCTGGCGGGGTGGAGAGCCCTCTGGGACCTTTTGGTCACAGTGTCTCACAGTTCCTCTTGTGTCAGAGCCCAGAAATCAAGGTCTGGGGCATTTCTTGGTGCCTTTCACTGCTCCACGGCTGTGGTTGTTGCAAGGATAAGGCATCACACTGAGCATGTAGGGCCAGGGCACCTCTTGCTCTGTGCCCACAGGGGATGTCTCCTGCATTGCTGTCCCTGCAGACCTGTCCGTGTGTGGTTCTGCACATCCAGAGGAACAAAATGTCACTGCCAGGCCACCTGGGAGCAAGCAACATCTTCCTGATCCACAGCTCGTTCCTCTGCTCAGTGGGGCATCAATGCCAGGGGTGACTCGGCCACTCCCCAAGGAATGTTCCCGTGTTCTCTTTGCTCCTGTTGTTGCCAGCAGAAAGGTTATAAAAGCCTTGTAGAAGCAGTTAGATGTTTTTCTTTATAATGACAATATAGGATTTATTTGGGAGATAATAGAAGTATGGTCTTTCCTCGCATAAGTGCCTTTTTTGAATTAATTTTTTATTGATCTCTCTGGAACTGGCTTGTGGATACGTATATAATCAATGCTGTTTTCACAAAGCCCAACTCTCTCTCTGTTTATTGCAATATGCGTGTTTCAAGATCGTTTGTACAGACATTCCAGAAATCTGGGAAAGCTGTCTAGCATAAAACTATGTGAATTATTTAAATAAAACACAAAAAGGCAATATTGCGCCCTCACTACCAGAAGCAAGCTTGCTGGAAAATGTCATTATAACTGCGTGATGGTTTTAAAGTTTTCAGAATAATTATTTTGCTCTCAAATTGTGATAGAATCTTACAAATCCCCCAGACTACAAAACTGGGTGGTGCTAGATATCTCCCAGGACTGGCAGCTTGATGCAGCATTACGGATGAAGGCAGCAGCTTTGTGACCACCACAGGCAGGGCTCAACGCTCCTGTTTCACCCAGCCACTGAGAAACTAAAGAATTGACCAGGCAAGAAACGTGGATGGTTTCTGTCAAAATCTTGCCTTGGTAATATTCCTTAAAAAATATATCTGAACTTGCACCAGAGGTGCTCCAAAATTGTATGTAAAGTCTTTGGAATGGTCAAACAGCAGAACTGGAGTAAGACCAGAGGTTTTTTGTTACGTGCCAATGCAACAGCTAATAAAAAGGCACCCTATTTTTATGACTTGAGCCCCTGTGTTCTACAGCAATCCAAGTGATAACAGCAGGAATGCCCAGATTATCACAAGGAAAAATGTTTACCTGCTGCACTGCCTGTTACTGTGTCACTGGTGCCTGGAGGTGCATGTGCCATGCACTTGGTGTGCTAAAGCAGCCGTTTCTTGGATTTAAAAGAGCAGCTGATACAGTAGTTAACTAGTTAAGCCTTTCTAATGTGTTTCAATTAATATATGTGTCATTTGGATGTCATTAGGGTGGGAAGGTGCAAACAATGGGTTTGGGCATACCATGGCTCACCCATTGCTAGATGTGGGCCAAAATGCCAAATGCCAGTGTGATGCTGCTCTCTTGGCTCTTTTTTTGACCCCATGAGGCAAATGGGGTGAAGATTTTATTTTATTTTATTTTATTTTATTTTATTTTATTTTATTTTATTTTATTTTATTTTATTTTATTTTATTTTATTTTATATTTTATTTTATTTTATTTTATTTTATTTTATTTTTTGGTAAGGCAGAGGCGGCCTGGAGGCTCCTTGTGGTGCTGGGAGAATGTATAGAGCAGGGTCAATAAAAATTTAGGGAATACAGATGGGATAAAAGGTGGTGAGCCTGGATGAGAGCCCAGAAACACTGGGTGTTACAACAACTGTGCAAAAGGGTAATGCAGAGCAGACTGCAAAATAGGCGAAACTGGGATTATTAGGCCTGCCTGGCATATGTATTTATAATGATTGCCCAGTGCCTGGTGTCCTGGCTACGGGTCTTTAGTTTCTGATAAATAACTTCTTGGTGAAGACAAACAGGGAGCAAAGAATTCAGGTATGGTGAGTCTTTCTGCAAATTCCCTTCATGTGTGAGAAAAAGAAGATCTCAAAATATTTTATTAACTTGTAAACTGTGATTTAAGGGAATTTTAAACAGCATGTGAAAGAAAAATAATGAACAAATGTTTTCAAGTGGGAGAAATCTGTCCCTGCCATATGTTTCACTGAGTCATCCCTTCCACAGAAGGAAATGTTGCAATTGTTTGAACTGTTCGAGTCACTAATCCTTTTTATTTAGTAGAAACATCTCTGTAAACTCGGCACCCAGTCCTACAACGCATTAGTACCACGTGTTGGATGTAGTCCTGATCCCACCAACATCAACGTGTGCTTTGCTCTGTCTGGGTACAGGTTAACTTCTCCCTCTGGCTTGCTATTGAGCCAAGGCCAAACCTGGCCATGGGTTTCCACTTGCAGCTAGATGATGCGATGTTCTGCACTCATCAGGACGCTGTAGAAACCACAAAATCTCCTTTCTTTTTCATTAATGGACCCTCTGCAGAGAGCCCTGTGCTGATGGAAGTGGTGTTTGGTTCTGTTGCAGGTGTGGCTCTGCGGTGGCAGCATGGAGGTCCTGCCCTGCTCCAGGGTGGCTCACATCGAGCGCAAGAAGAAGCCCTACAACAACAACATCGGTTTCTACACCAAGCGCAACGCCCTGCGAGTGGCTGAGGTGTGGATGGATGACTACAAGTCCCATGTCTACATTGCATGGAACTTGCCTCTGGAGGTATGGGCATTGCGCCCTTCTCTGAGTTTTTGCTTCACTGGGTCAAAATCGTGAATGATAGAGCATTTGGTGCCCCTGGGTGAAGGAAAGCCTTAAATACCTTGGGTCACATCCTTAGCTATGGAAGCCAGCAGAGCTCCCTCAGCTTTGATGGAGATGCTGCAACACCAGCAGAATTTGAGGGGCTACTTACAGTTCACATCAACTTTGTCATGGTGGTTTCTCAGTCTTAAGTCTGTATTGCAGAGTTCATCTCCCCATTGAGTGATTACACAGCAAAAGTTTATGTCATGATGCTGCTCTGCAGGTGGAGTCTATCAAATAGGTTGGCAGATGATGATTAATGATGGTATCACTAGTACTTGAGTGTCGTCCCCTGGCTTGGGCAGGTCCATGCCATGTGTGGGCACACTTAAGCTCTCCCAGCACTGGGAAATGTGAGGCCATTGGTGCTTAGAAACCATGCCCAAAGGTTAAGGCTGGTTGGTCACAAAAAGTTTCCCTCCCAGCGGCACCATGTTTGTGCAAGTAATTGAAGAACACTCTCTTTCTGAATAACTTAGATTGATTCCTGTGCAGAAATGTTTAGACTTTCCTAGATCTGATATGTTATTTTTCATATAAATCCTGTCTTGGTGCAGCATGGTGCATTCGGAAAACCATGGCCAATGAGAAAGGTTGACCATGCCCAAGGGACAGATGCTGCATGTGGATCTCTCTAGGTGGTTCCCTGCATTTCTCCATAAAGATCTCTAAGCTCCAGGAGGACTTACTTCTGCTTACCTCTGGTCTTTGTGCATACTATATCTAAATCACAAAGCCCAAGACCATCTCCTGCCTCCCGGCTCCCACCACTGCTGTTAGAACTCTGGGAGCAGCCCAGGGTGGGCCAGTGCCCCTGTCTGCAGCCTCTGGTCCTGCCAGGAGGAGAAGGGGCTGTGGAGGAAGCTGTGATGTTCTCCAGGTGGTGGGGACACAAGGATTTGGGATGCCCTGCAGAGCCTGATGCCATTCATTCCCCTTGTAGCGTATGTTAGCATGAGCATCGGGCTGCGCTGTAGATATGCAAGGAAAAATGATGCCAGGAGTGGCCTGACCCCTTGTGAGCAGTTATTTACAGACACTCTTTTGGTGCTAGACATAAACACAAAATAGTCACACCTTGCAGATCCAACCCGGCTGAGAGCTGCTTTGGGCCCGATCCTGCTGCAGCAGCATCCCCAGCTGGCAGCACGGTGCTTCAGGGCATTTTGAAAAGCATTAAACACAAACTGCTGCTGCTGTTAGAGGAAAGGTTACATCTGGGGAGGTTTCCTGGCATTTAGAGCCATGGTAGTTGCAGCTTTGTACTGCATTAGAGAACAGCGGGCACCTGGGAAGGGCTGATTAGCTGCCTGTGCTGCCGGTCTGTTGTACTGGGGTGGTGGAGAGGCTGGGATCAGTTTGTTGTTGGGGAATAGGTGAGTGGAGAGGGAAGGAGATGCTGGCTACCCAGTGAGTGGCAGGAGAGCACTGGGTGTGCTGGGTGCTGCTCCAGCAGAGAGCGGGACTGCGAGCTTTTAAGCCCTCCTTAAAAACAGGCTGCAAGATCCCAGTGTAGGTGGATAGGGCTGGAAAGCTGTCGTGGGTTCAGACCTGATGCCCACACTGCTTCAGGCTGAGACATGAGGCACCCCGCTCCTGCTCAGGAGAGGCTTTGGGATGCAGCACAAAGGGATTCACACACAGCGTGGAGCCACAGGTCCCCTACATTTCTGAAAAGGCAGTGTCACAAGAATCAACACTACAGGTGGGTTTTCTGAGTTATCCTAATAACTATTTTTTTTTAAATGTAGGTTTTATCAGTAAAATCGAGATTTAATTTCAGAGAAGCCTTGTTTGACAGGTGGTATTGTGCAGGGGGTTATGAATATACATTGAATTATTTTGCAATGCCATTATGTACAAAACAAAGCCGATCCCCATGCTCTGAATATTTCAGTTGTTGACTGATTTGTGCTCCTGCTTAGCCTCACATCCCAGCTCAGCTCTTCAGATTTCAGCCTGTCCTACCCGTCTACACTGAATCAACTTTATTTTTACCTGTGAGCTAGCAGTCACAGATTAAAATGGTGTCTTTTCTAAAGCAGAGTGAATAATTCATTAGAAGATCATTACAAGCATTGTAATGGAAAATTGCTTTTCCAGCTATAGTTAATGATCACTGGAAAAGACAAGAGCAGGAGCTAAAATAGAGTAGAAACCCAGACACCTGTAGGAAGGAGGAAAAGTGGCTGCTTTGTGCATTCCTTCACCTGTCTGCTGCATTAGTTCCCCAAATTCTGTAATGGAATAAAAGGTTAAAGAGGAGCTGCTCTCTTCAGCCCCTGCTCCTGGCTCCTGTAAAATTATTCTCCCTGGGACAGATATTGCAGCTTTGTCTGCTTTTAAATCAACTTGAGCAGTGGGGTTCCTCTGTGTCTCCAGGGAGACTATTTCACCATCTAATTGTCCAAATTGTCAAGAGGTTTTTCTGAGGTTCAGGCTCATCTTGCATTCTCCTGTGATTTTTATCCTTTGTTCTTAGCTGATTCTTATATTTGAATCTTAAGTCTTCCCTTTTGTTAAAAATTCTATTTTTCCCTTATTTTATACCTTTGTAACCATTCTGTCCTCTGAGTTGCCTCTTGAAAGAGTCTCACACCCTTGGCATGTAGGGGAAGGGTTTTGGTGCTTGGTGCAATGACGGGGATTTTCTTTCCCAAGATTCAGCACGTGACCATCTTTTAAACCCTGACATAAATTTACTGTTAAGCTTTTCTGGAATTCTGCTGTCAGTGGGAGGTGAGATATTTTAAAAATACTTCATTCATTGTTCCTTTTGAAAAATTCCATCTTTTCCAGACTGTTCCGAAGCCGCGGGGAATCATGGGGAAGCTTTGCCACTGCTACCCTGTACTTCTCATATTTCCTTCACAATCTCTTCCTTGTTTTCTCCCTTTGGGTTCTCTTTTTAAATTACCTCCCAGGACCAAAGTGCTTCCAGCTTTATTCTGGTGGCTGTGAGAATGCCTTCACACCCTGGCAGGGAAGTACGTGTCATCTCCCCACTGTGACTCTCTGAAGTCAGGCTTCTCGGATGATAATTTCAGTCTTGGACACGCCTGCCAAAAGTCCAGGGCACAGCTTCTGTGTGGAGTTACTTAACCTTTGGCAGTTTTAAAGTGGATTGGAAATGATAGCAAGCACCAGTGAAATGCACTCATTTTCTCTTTTATTTTAAAGAGGAACCATTCAGTGATATGATATGTCTCTGTTTTTCAGAATCCAGGTATTGACATTGGGGATGTCTCTGAGAGAAAAGCTTTGAGGAAGAGCTTGAAGTGTAAAAATTTTCAGTGGTATCTGGACCACGTTTATCCAGAAATGAGAAGATACAACAACACCGTTGCGTATGGCGAGGTAATTACAGCTGGTACATTCCGTAGATGTGACTGGTAATTTTTACAGCTGGTGAGGCTCTGATGACAAAAAGCCTCAAAGGAGTTGAGCATGAATGAAACCTTCCTGTTTCTGTGTAGTTGTATAGATGTTTATAAATCTGCTCACAGTTTCTTGTGAAAACCTATTTGGGGATCTATTTCTGATCTTGGAGACCGTACATAGTAAAGTATTTTAATACCTTATTTACTGAATTGACACAAAATTATCTGTATTACCTATTGAGTCAATGGATTACGCAGCTGAATGTATATTTTTAACAAAAAGTTGTTTTATAAAACCCTTTGGCTTACCCTCAGCGTAATTTCTCACATGGTCTCTATAGGATACAGTGCATTGTCACAACAGCTTAAGGATGAGATAAAGCAAGGAGACTTAATTCAATCTCTATTGGCTTTGAGACAGTACTAGGAATATAAAAACAGGCATTTATGGGGACTAATAATACTCTGTGGTAGTAGGCCTCACGGAATAGTGGCAGTTGAAGAAGGCTTTTTGAAGCACAGCTGGAGTACCCCGGATGGGCATTAATTTTAAGAAAGTTTTCTTATCAGAGTTTAATGACTTCAAGCTAACCTGCCCACACAAGCAATATTTTAAAGGCATTATTTCATTACAGTTGCCCAGCGTAGCGAAACTGGAGAGAGGGCATCTTTGCCTTCACAGACCTGGCGGTAGGGTTTGCAGCGTGAGTCCAGCACTCTCATGCTCCTTCTGAAATGTGTCTTTGAGTACTGAGCCACCTGGTTTGCCAGCTCTGCATCTCCTCTTGCATCTTTCTGATGATTTGAAGGGGTTCCTTGTGCTATCTGGACTTCTTTATCCTGCCTTGTTGAACGCTTTGGCATTTTGATGGAATACAAGCAATTCTGCATTGATTTCAGGCTGCTGGCAACATGCTGACAGTAATCTAAAAATATGTTTGTTACCACCACACATGACCAAATACAAAGGAAACTGTTCAAGGAAAGTTGGTTCTTTTGAATGGTGATTATTATATAAAAGCAGTCATCATTAGGCCTGTATTTAAAGAAAACATATGGCATGCTAAACCTTTCTCTGCCTGATTATGGCCTGTGATATAGTACCATGTACTCTTTCCATGGCCAGACATTGCTACATATCAATTCATAGCTTATCTCTGAAAACATGTAAACGTGCCCTATTTATTTTTTTACAGCTTCGAAACAACAAGGCGAAGGATGTTTGCCTTGACCAGGGCCCGCAGGAGAACCACACAGCAATATTGTACCCGTGCCACGGCTGGGGACCACAGGTGAGGAGTCTGCATGTGCCGGGAGCAGGCAGAACCTGGCAGAGGCTGGATGGACAGAAGAGAGAGTATGGATGTGCAATGTGTCTGTTGGCTTCACTCTCAAATGTTTAAGGCCATGCTTCTTTCTTATTAAAAAGAAAAAAAAAAAAAAGATAAAGAGATGCATTTTCCCAGCTACTTTTAGAGCTATTTTCTGGATTACCATAATCATGGCAGAGTTGCAAGTAAAAGCGTAATTTGAAAACATTTTCCAGACAAGGGTAAATAATGCTGAAAACAAATGGCCAATGAACAGAGCAGAGCACACACCAACAGAGCATTTTAAGACTTTTCTTTTCTCCTACCCAGCAGACTAAAAAGGTACCAACAGGGAAAAGAAAGCAAACAGTGCTTTTTGATGGGATGATAATTTACTATTTCAGTTGGGCTGGGCTTCACTATAGTGTTAGTTTTCTAGCACTTCTTTTGTCTCTCCAAAATCTTAGGAGCAAACCAGAAGCTTTTTAACCTAATTTCAAGCTCATCCTAGATAAAAAGTCATGATTACAAGATTCACTCTACATCTCTTATCTTTTGGAGGATTAGTGAATGTGTGAAATAATCAAAGTTAGTGATTATGAACTGATTTGGCCTTTTTCATAGTTGTATCTCTCACTGTGTTTTAAAAGAAGGCAGCACGGGAATGCTGCTGGTTCAATAGCTGTAGAGAATAGAACAAAACAGAGTGCTCTGCTCTCTCTGTCACTGCTGGTATCTGTAAAGCCAACAGCAGACTCTGAGCTGGACTTCCAGGATCTGCAGGCTCCAGATGTAACTTAACCATTTCTGTGTAAACTTTTCCTGTCTATTTTTCCTCTTATCTCTGCCTATATCCCCACCTCGGTGTTTTGCCTAAATCACATGATTTCCTTTATGTTTTTCTTTCTGTATGCCCACTGGCCGTCTTCTTGACATGCAGATCCCCTAGTACAATGCCCTTATCCCCTCCAGTCTTTAAGGAGAAAATACAACATGTCTCGTTTTAGTCTGGAGGCAGAGTGGCTGTCTTATGATACATGTTTTTTTTTTTCCAAGAATGAGGATGTGATTTTGTTTTTCTTCATTGCCAAAATCTTGCCTGGCCTCCCTAAAGCCACAGTGTAGCAGCACTTGTTCTTCCAGCGCTTCATCTCTATCTAGTGAGACCCTGGCTGGTTATCACCAGAATATAACAAGTGTATCTGACTTCAGCCTCTTGCTTTTGTTTGCATTTCCTATGTAAATGCTGTGGCTATTTATACTGGAAATGTAGCTGAGGTGGGGAATTTGCAGGTAATGGGCTCTGCAGTCTCTGTGCTTGCCCAGTGACTACTGGCAGTGGGTGGAAATGGGACAAACTCCTCTGTGACAAGGCAGTTTCTTCCATTGCTTTTATTCCATTAGTAAGTCTGTGCACACTACCAAACTGGGAAACACTTCCCAGCTGCCTTCTCTGGATCAGCCACGTTTGTACTGATCATCTCCTGATCTGCTTAGAAACTCATGCAAAACTGTACCTGAAAAGCTGTCTGATCACTGAGTTGCTAGGCAGAAGCCATCGTCCTCATTCTCGTGAAAGAAGGTGAGGTGTGCCACAGGAGCAGAGCCAGGACACTTCGTATGGTGAGATAGGTCCTGCCAGTTGCTCTCCATTGCCAAGAGGACGAGTTTCACACAGGAAACTGAACATGGATTTGGGTGAGGTTAGGTGAGACAAACACATCCCAGTTGTGCCAGGATGCTGAGCTGGGTATATTTAAGGCATAGACAGAGTTTTCTATTTATTTGCAGGAGAACATCTGCCTTGGCATGTTTTAGCAAAAGTTTGCCCTGGCAAGACATGCATCCTGGTATCTGCACTCTGTGGGTTATGTTCTTCAATCAGATAGCCCCAGCTTGTCATTCCACTCTTTGCTAGCTCAGTATCGTGATGTACGTTAGTCTAACATTGGCCAAGCCTTCCAACATGTTCTTTTAACATCATAACCCCAAACCAGAGCTGTCTGTGCTGGCAGATGACTGAGGGTTTAGGCTGAGATCAGCTCTATAGGCATGTCTAACGCGTTGTGAGCACCTAAATCCTGTTAAAGTTGTTGTGTGACAGTGAACTGCTGCAATGAAGCAGCACAAGAGGTGACACAGCAATGAGTAAAGACTCAAATCCAGCTTGCTGATAAACTCTGTTTGACAGATTTTCTATGCCCTTAAAGGTAAGATGCTGCATCAGACCTGCAGTGCGTCCCAAAAGCGCACAAACTATATAAAAATGCTCAAGAGCAGTGGTTGAACTCCTGATCCCAAGGGCTGCGTAAGCCTGCCCAGTACCTCTGCTCTGGGTCACTTTGGTCTCCATGCAGGTTGGGAGAGGAGAACTTCAGTTTCCTTCATAAAGTTGCAAAAGAAAGCTTAGCACTGCATGTGCATTCATTAAGACCAGAACTGTGGAAATAGAACATAATCAAAACCACCCAATTAAATGCCTGCAGGTATTTGCATAATAAAACACTGCCTATAAAATTTTCTCCCATGAATCAGAAGGAAGAGCAGGGAAAGGAAGGTAAGTCCCTGCTGGAAAGTAGAGTTTCTCAATATATCTGGGATGATTTATTGAGCAAATTTCATATAAGGATCAGAGTTTTCCAGTTGAAACAGAAGCTGCTGTGACCTGTTCACTGGCTCCAGTTGAATTCTAACCCATTATGGGTTGTAGCCCATCTTGGATATGGGTGTTGGTTGTTTTGTTTTCCCTTTGAATACCAAAATACTGAATACCAGAGATATGTCAACTCAGTCTTGAAAACTGAACTTTCATTGGCCACTGCAGATGGTAAGTCTGTGTCCTTCACAGTGCTTGTACAACCCGTACATGGGAGGAAGTCTTCACAAGGTGGTGAGGTAGTGGGGAGTTTTGTCTAAATCTCTGCCTGCAAAATAACGCTAGCATTACCCTTCTGCTGACATAGGCAGAAGGGCAAGTTGTAGACTGAGGTGGAGCTGAGTGGGGACTTAGAGCTGCAGGGTATGGTAGCTCTGACAGCCTTAGTCCAGTGTGCTCAAGGAGGGTCATTTTTAGCTAGAAAATGTACAGCTTCAAGTGACAGGAATGTGTAAAGAACCCATTCTCACAATAAAGTCATCGTCAGCTTTCCAGGTTCACCAGGACTAAGTAATTCCAAAGCACACCTCAGCCTGAACTGCAGACTTCAGGAGCCACCTGAGCTGACGAAAGGGCCACGGGGCTCCTTGGGGTAGAGACAAATCTCACTTTGGTTTATCCTTGCCTTTAAACACAGATCAGTCATCTGTGGTTGATCAAGTCACTGCTAAATATAACCTAGCTGTTGCTTAAACGCACACAATTTTTTCTTAAATGGCACAAACTGCCTGTTAGACTTTCTGGATGGAAACTTAAGCCTCTAAGTGCATTATAATATGAGAAACTGCATTAGTCTGACATTGCCTGCTAACCCTGGACTTTAAGATGAATGACTAAAAGCAGATGATTTGTGATTAAACTTAACAATGTTTTCTCTTCCAACCTGGTGTTCTGAAATAAAGCACCGCAGTGCTCTTGGTTCCCTTCAGTTCACCTGTTGTGCAAGCTCAGTGCAGGCTTTTCTTCCTGGTCTTCCATCTCCACATCATCTCTTCCCTCTCCAGCTAAGAACCAGTTCTTGGTAGTTCTTTTGTTTCACAATACATGCAATTAGTTTAACTCCTTGAAAACGCTTTTTAAAAGTAGCTATCAGTGAGTGCAGAAGCTTTGAAATCAGCCTTTTGTAAAAACACGGGTGCGGCACAAAAGAAATTGGACTTTCATTACTATAGTTTAATTAATGGGCTGCGTGCTGTAATTTATTACCGGGAATATAATTAGAGGTGATGTAAACACTTCGTTCAAATAGCTCACTTACTGAATATAGATATATATATGTAAAAAACACAAGGACTTGCAATTCCTGTTGGGTTTTTAGCATGCTGGGTGGTGCCTGTGTTCAGGTAGTGGCTTGCAGTTTCCCTTCTCCCTTTGATACTGCGGCCCATCACATCCACGCTTAAATGTTTCCCAATTGAGGAGCAGGTTTGTTGGCTCAGCTAGTGAGGGTAAGCGTGTATGCTCTTTGCTGGAGAGCATATTTTTATTTACATTTATTTACATTTTTGCAATGCAAGGACAGTGGTGTCACCACTCCTGTTCCCTGCCACTGAATAATGTTGGGATTTCAGTAGAAACCTTCACTTTTTGTAAGCTGTCCATCCCCACACTGTGATCCTGTCCACTGTGGCTATGGTATGCCTGTGGATGAGCAGCCTGAGGCACAGAGAGAGGGCACATGACTCTGTGGGGAGAGAGTTTTTCCATTCAAATCAGGGCAGCTTGCATTATGTCTTGAATTTCTGCTCACTCTGCTGATGACTGATAATCAGTTCAAACTAAGTACGTAGTTTATGGGTGGTTGCAGTTAGGTACAATGGATCCCATAGCTAGTGCTGAATGTGGGTGAGAACCTGGCTTTTTCTCACAACACTTTTGTTGTAGTATCTATTACTGGGTGAAATTTTTGGGGTTTTCTTCTGTTTATTTTCCCTTTACCTTCCCAATTTCCCTGTTTTCATTCACTTCCAGGTCAAATCATTCTCAGATTTCAAGATGAAGTATCCTTTTATCCTGTAATTATATTGAACATGCTCTTAGATTTTTTTTCCTGATGGCTTCATCTTTTAAGTGATACATCATGAAAACACCTTGCTGTAATGATGTATCACACTAATAATATAGTAATACTTCATTGGAGTGACAGAACGATGGTGATATATTAACATGATAGAAAGTACTATAATACTATAAAACTTAAGATAATGTTCACTCAGCAAAGCATTTCATTTAATTATAGGATAAAATATGTTTTGCCCATTTAAGCATCAGAACTTGGGGACAAAACCGTCAATACTGAGATCATCCGGGACACTGCGTTGTCAAGGGTGACAAAACAGCACATCAGATGAAATTGGGCTAAGGAGAAAATAAAAAAGTTGCTAATTGAAGATTGCTCACTGCAGAAAGGAAGCTAAACAGCCCTAAATTATTTTCCAATAGAGTCAATGAAGGTCATCGAGGCTTTTATTTCCCAGGTGCTAAGATGTCTAATTAACTTTCTCCCATCCCTAAGACACAGCCAGCCAGAAACAATAATCAAAGAAGATGTATTGGTGGTGCAGGTTTGTTGATAGGAGATCAGCCTGAGTGATTCATGGGGCATGTGTGCAGCAACAAATTGTAGGGCCCAGAGCCTCATTTCAGGGTCCGAAGCCTCTTTTTTTTTTTTTTTTTTTTAATTCCAGACCCCCATTGTGATGGCACAAATCCTCATTCTCAGGTTCCAGAGCCTCATTTGTTCAATCACCTTTTTTTTTTTTAGTATCCAGTAACTCAGTTAGAGATCGAAACCTGCCTTTTTATAGCCTAAACCTGGAGATACATTTGGAACATGCTGTAGGTATGGATCTGTGTTTCTCTCTGGGGATGTGGCCGTGGGCTACTTACACAGATCAAAGGTTTCAAGACCTCAAGACAGACCACTTTTAAATGGCTAGCTAGTTAGCATTTTCAAGCTGTTTTTCTCTGGTCTGTCCTGTTGGTCAGTCTGTTTTGTCTTGTGCCCTGTGCTAGGCTGAGTAACTCCTTCAGGTGCCTTGCTTGGTCTGTGTCCTTGAGGCTAACACTGCCTAACAGGCAAAGAGGTGAGATCACTGAAAAGGGTAGGTGTGTAATATTTTAGGGCAAGTAGAGCAGAATTGAAAGTTGAATAATTTCAGTCATTTGCCTTTCCTCAAAGCCAGAAAAAAAGGGTTTGTTGCATGAAATACCACTGGTTCTTACTGGTTATACGAAGTGGACTATACTTACTGTCACTGGAAAACCTGTAGGCAAAACCTCCTTCTTCATCTATGAAATCATTTACTTCATAAAAGACCCGCTTTTGCTACCTTTAAGCACTGTGATGACCATGTGAGGAAATCACTGGTGACTACAAAGCCGCCTTGGGGTCTCCATGGGAGTAGCCTTGTTCCAACACTTGCTGACGGAGGTGGCATTTTCAGGGTGCCTGACGTGAGAACAGGATGGACAGTCCTTGCAAGGCATTTGAGAGGAGAAAAACAGTGTGGTCCAACAGGCAAACCCCTGGTGGAAGAGCCTTCCTGGCGCCTCCAGGAGGAGCTGTGAGGATGAGGAGGAGCAGAGAAGATTCAAGACCTTTCAGGTGGTGCCGGGTGGATCGGGTGTGCTCCTGAGCATTTACACAGTTGGGTTACGTTGCTGAGACTCGCAAACATGGTGCAGAGCAGCTTGGAAGGAGCTTACTGAAATCATGCCCGTGGTCCTTCTTGTACCGCCTTGAGCCAAAGAGCGGTGTTACCCTGGATATCACTATGAGCACTTGCTGTGTCGATCAGGCAGAACGGAGTAGCCTTCGCTCATTCAGCTTTCATATGTAGCTGAAGACCAGATTCTCACTGCTTGCCTGGGGCTGTGCCAGCCGCATTGAAGCAGGAAGGTTTGCTTGGGCCGCTGAGTTGTTGAGATGGTGAATTGGTGCAACTGCTCGGAAGGCTTTAATGGCAATGGCACATGTAATTTATTGATAATATAAAGCATTTGTCTGGCATCTTTGGTTTCTAAATAAGGCTCAGGTCTTATGCAAGTGATGAGCTGTCTGGAGCTGCTCTGTAAGATGTTGGTCAGTGTGGTGATGTGACACTTCCCATCTCTTTTTAGGCAGAGAAAGCTGGTTAGCTCCCCAGAGCAGCCTGTGGGGCCATCTCAAATGTCAGCCTCTGCTGTGTGTTATCTTCCCTTTTACTGTTCAAGAAAGACCCAAGACCCAGTGGTAGCAGGATCAGTGCTTCGCTACCCCTTTGCCTCAGTTCTTCACCCCCTGCTTTGGTTTGGGGTTGGGACCCCCAGCTGCTGCAGTGGGCTTGCTCTGGAGAGGAGCAAAATAATGAAAGTGTTAAGACATCAAAGGCAAGATTTCCCCAAATGCATCTTGATGCATCTTGGAGCTTACACTTATGAGTTAGGTGGGCTTTTTTGGGATATCATCACTTTCAGCTTTGAAGTACTGAGGAGGGACAGGCTGGATCCAGTGTGTGACAGTGCGCTGGATCCAGACGTGTTTAAGACTTTCTTTATCTGGCTATTATACCTAGTAGATGACACATCTAATAGATGCACTTGATGCATTTTTCATAATACCCGTGTTTGTTTTTCAGCTCGTTTAGTCTCCCTGCAGCCCCCACCCCTTTGCCTTCCTCAGGAAAGATTTGATTTTTGCTCTACTTATTTTTCCCAGCACATTAGGCGATAACATGGAAGAGCAGAAATCGTGTTGCCTTGTGGGCATGAGGCCAACTTTCTGAAGACAAACTGTGAAACACCATAAAAAAAAAGAAAAGTGTCTAGCACGCTAATTTTGGACATGGTAGGAAACATTTCAGAAACAGGAGAAGAAAGGGTAACATGCTGTCCATTTGGGGCCTCTAGATGATTTTCTGTCTGTCAAGGAGAAGTTGTGGGGTGTTTTTTGTTGTTGTTTTTCTTTTCTTTCACATGCCTCTCTCTTTTTGCAAGGCAAGTAGCCTCATCCTCTGGGCTGGTGCTCAAATACTAATTCAAATGAATTGCGTGGCTAAAAAACTTTGTCACTCTGAGAACATCACCTCACTTGAGGCTTGGCTCATTGAAACATCAAACTGATAAAAACAAATAATGTGAATTTGAGCCTTTCAAGCTGAACTGGAGATGCCCTTGCTGGGAACGTGGTACCATGTGAGCTGAGTGTGGAGGTGACCAGGGTCCCTGCCCTGTGCTTGGGCACCATGCATCCAGGGCAGATGGTGGCAAGGCTGGGAAGAAGAGGAGGAGAAGGTTATGGTGCTAAGCTCTGCAGGCTGTGCTCCTTTCCAATCCTGCTGCTCCAGCACAGCAGTTGGGATTGCTGTAAAGCCAGAGACACACACTCCTGTGCACCGTTTTGCAAAGGGATTTGGGGGGCAGAAGAGCAGATACCACACCAGGGGATGGGATGGGGCAGCGCTGGGCTGTGTGGGCTGCCATGCAAGCGTGTGTGTGTGCTGCCCTCTGCAATTGTACTGTAGCTGAATTCCCATCTGGGGATGGATACTGCTGGCAAACAGGCCTCCGTGAGCTGTAATATAGCAGAGGTCTTGATTTGATTGGCAACACAATGGCTAAAAGTGCAAATCTGCCAGCAGCTGGGAGCAAAACGCAAGGCAGAGGGGCAGTGGGGGGGCCGGTCAGAGGCTCTGGCACCTCTGTCCCTACAACCAGCATGCAGAGGGAAGGCAAAATGAGATTCAGGGACCATAACTGTATCTGCTGTTGCTAGCTCAAGTCAGACCCCTGTACATTGTTTTAACTTGATTTTCAGTGTTTAATTATTCTAACAGAGATAACCCGAACTCCCTGTGTGATTTACTGTCTCTTTTTAAGCATCTGGGTCACAGATATGCTCAGTTAATTAACGTGCTGAATACTCCTCATTTGTCTGCTAGATAATAGATTGATTCATAATTTAAATAAGCAGCTGTGTATGTCTTTCCCCTGAACCATAAAAGGCAGGCCGCTGTCATTCATCTCCTTTCACTCCTGAATTTAAATATGTTTAGGGAAATATTTTGGTGGGATTCCTTAAACAGTGGGACCGCGGGAGCCCTTTGTGTGTGGCGGTGCCAGCTGTGTGCTGCCTGCCCTGGCAGCAGTCCCCGGTGTCCCCGTTGCCTCTCGCTGCTCCCCGGGACAGGGCCGTGGAGCAGTGTGGCTGCCAGAGGGGTGACGGCGGTCGGATGCCGGCAGGATTGCAGCGGTCAGGTGCAGTCCTCAGCCTTTGCTTCCATGCTGAGCCACGGGGGAGGTTCTGGGCTTGCGTCCTGAGGGACCAGGGCCAGTTGTATATTGGCCTTTGGCTGGTGTTGCTGCCTGGCTGCTGGTGGAGCTGTTGGAGGGCTGCACCAGACACACCAGTGGCATTGTTCGCTGGCCAAAGCAAGGCTGGCGTGCCAAGAGTGTGAGGAGCCGTGAGCTGGGCCAGCGTGCCCCACCGAGCCAGCTGGCTCCAGCCAAAAACCAGGGGAAATCATGTATTGCCCCAACCCACGGAGCGTTCAGGCCTGGGAGAGGCTGCCCTGTGATGGGTTTGAGTCTTGGAGTTATTCTCTTCTTTTCTGTGTGCCCTGGCTCCTCACCTGCATCTGCAAAATAAACAACATCAGGAGAAAAAGGCTGGAAAAAGGCATATTCTTTTTCCCCTCTTGTTGGTTCTTTCCCTGTTCACCATCCTCACTGTTTTTTCCTGGGGCTCTCCCTGGTTGTCCTCTCCTGCGTCACTTTTTAATGATACTCCAAAGATACTGATGGTCTTTTTCCTCTCTGTCCCTGCCCCCAGCTTGCACGCTACACCAAGGAGGGGTTCCTTCATCTCGGCGCCCTCGGGACCACGACTCTTCTGCCTGACACCCGCTGCCTGGTGGATAACGTGAAAAGCCGCTTCCCTCAGCTCCTCGACTGCGAAAAGGTCAAGAGCAGCCTCCATAAGCGGTGGAATTTCATCCAGGTTTGTTACGGGCCTGCCATTAATGCTGCCCCTCTCTTTTCCCAAGCCATGGCCGTGGCATGTTGTCTTCAGCAGGGGACAGCAGGGGACGAATGCTGTGTGTGACAGCAGGTGCCACGTCCTGGGACAGACGCAAAGAGTTAAGAGGGATCAGGGGCAGGGGCAGTGTCAGCAGACAAGTAATTCCAGTAGAAGTTCCCTTTACTATCACTAAGGTATATGTAACCTGCCCCGTGTATGACTTCCAGATTTCTTTGTTTCTTACAGATAACCTATGGTGAAATACATGAAAACACACTGCTTCTGTCCCAAAGCAGCGAGTTAATCATATACAGCCCATGGAAGTGTCACACCTTCCTAACACACAGCATACAGTCATGCTATTTAAAGGTTACAGATGTCTTTTGTTTGCTGCTGTGTTAGGGATCAGTGCTGTCAGTGATAAAGGTTGCTCCGTTCAATCCCATTGATTATTTTGGAAATTATGTTATTGCTTGAATTGCATTACTGCCCCACTAAGTGCTGTGCACTTTCCAGCCACGCACGAGGACACAGCCTCTCTCCTGCAGTGCATGGTCCTGGCTTGCTTCACAGGCAGTCCTATGTCTTTAATTTTTTAACTATTTTCTCCATGTCTGTAATTTTAGAATGGTGCCATCTTGAACAAGGGAACAGGGCGCTGCTTGGAAGTGGAGAACAGAGGAATGGCTGGCATCGATCTGATTCTTCGCAGCTGCACAGGACAAAGGTGGACAATTAAAAATTTCATCAAGTAAAAGGTGGAAGACTCCGAGGAGTCTCACCTGAAACACAGCTGACTTGGACTGATCTGACTGGACTCCTTTTGAAAGGACAAAATATCAAAACAGAGCTTTATTCATGTTATTAGGAGAGGACATGGGGGAAATGGGCATTTGTGTCTTTATTTTTATTGTATATTAGTCTCCCGCAGCTGATTCCAACTGTGTGAAATTGGGTCAGAACTGCTATTTTCTTCTGGCAAGCACTCTAAAAGGTACCACTTATTTCTGCTGGAATAAGTGTAATAAGCTCATGCAGTCTTGTGAGCATTTTACTGACAGGGAAATGTTGTTTTCCCAGATGACTCCAAGCTCTCCCAAAGGGCCAACTAGGTTTGCACCATGGTCAGAGTCGAAAGACCCTGCATATATCTGCATGGCAAGCATAAAAACTTGCCTGCTTGTGAGAGGAAAATGTGGCCAAGCTCCAGACAAGCTGCGTTTGAATGAAGCGGTGTTTCACTGGATCCTCTTTCTCTTTTTCCTTTCTTGCCCCTACATTTAGCAGCCCTTTTCTTGAGTCTGGGAGAAGCGAAGCTCTCAGAGACGCCCCAGTAGATCCCACAGATCTTTCCAATCTTTAATCACAGATGTCATTGCACAAAATCCTGTCGAATGAAAATACTGGCCTCCTGTTGTCCCCTCTCCATCGCCCAAGTGATGCTGTTTGCCAAACCAGCCCCGGCCCCTCTGCTTATGGAGACCCTGAATGACCCTATGTGACCCTGTGGAAAGACCTCAGAATTTTTCCCCACAGGTGGCTGCCTGCCGGTTTTGGGGTCGGTCAGACACACAGCAAGCTGTTCTCCAGCTGGGGACCTGGAGAGCTGCAGGTCTGTCCTGCCCCCCTGGTGGAGATGCTGGCCTGGCACTAGCCCCTTGGGAACCCCTTTCTATCTCTACACACCCCCCCACCCCCTTTTTTTTCTGCTTTTGGGATGAGTGTCCTCATGTGTGCAACAGGCTGAGGGCAAGCACCATGAGAGAAAGTCCTGCTCAGGCTTCCCTCCCATGCAGGCTATGGGTCTTGTCTTTAAGGCGTCCTTGCTCTGAATGAAGATATCAGTAGCAGTGGTCTCTTTACCTTTGTAGCGATGTAATTTTCTTCCTGAGGCTTGAGCACACCTGTCCTGAGGCCTGGTCAGCATGTGGCTATGGCCAAGGTCCACCCCAAACCCTGCATGTTTCTGCAGTCCTTTGTGGGTGATGGAGATGGAAGGAAGGGAGAGGGAGGGCAAGAACCAAGAAATGGCAGCTTGGCTGAAATTCCTGACCTTGGAGTCACTTGAAGCTTCTTAATATGATGGGGTGATCTCACCTGCTTTTTTTGACCCACAGTAATCTTTGCTACCAAATCTACCCAGGCACTGTGGGAGACCATTGGTTTGGGGTCCTGGTGTCCGGCTAACTGGAAACTGGAAAAGGGAAACGTCTCACAAAGTTGTTTCACACGGATGCTGGACTAATGGGTGGATGCAGGCTTTGCTCAGTGGAGAGGGGAAGCCAGCCCATCTCCTGTCCTTCTCACAGAATAATACTCTTTCTGGTTGCCCTCTGGCTAGGGTGCACTAAAATATATTAATATATGAGATGTACGTGTAAATATGTTCCCAAAGATGGGATGTGCACAGAGTTGTTTGCTGCAGAGCACTCATGCCTGTCTTCCATTTGCATCAGGATAAAGCTACCTGGGTGTTTAATGACTTTAATTTTCAATGCCATGCAGCAGGTTTATAACTGATGTTTTAGTAATTTATTGAACAGAAACAGATATATTTCATTGTTCCTTCTACAGCAATGAGCATCACATAGGACTGATTGTTCACTTACGCGTGACAAGACTCCCTCATCCATTGGAGTTGTCTCTGATTTTTTTCCCTTGCCTTCCTTAATGAAGTAAAACCTCTTAGTTGTCCTGAATTGCAAAGTAGGGAGTCAATGTAGAATTTTGCTCTCTTACTCGCTGTTGCATCATCTCTTGTGTAATAAATTTTAGCACTTACAAAAACTACACGATTACAATGTCTTTAGATGCATGATGTATTTCCCCTTGCATTTGTTGCTGCCTTCTAAGAAAAGCAGTTTGCTAATGAAGTGGACTCCAGGAAACTCTGTGGGATTTGAGACTTCACAGCTAATGGCCAAAATGGTAAAATGCCCTTTAATTGAGCAATCAGTTTGCTGTCAGTCGTCAGTGAGAGCCACATATTGTTTAGTGTTGGGAAAAGCCTGCGTGTTTTGGGAAAAAACAACCCCAAAGCCTTTGGATGTTGCCTGTGTTATCATTCACGGTTCTCGGCTCAGCTCTAGTCCTGCCAGTGCTCAGGGCGCCAGCAGATGGGCTTTGTCAGATCTAATCGTGGTGGGACAAGGTGTCACCACCCCCAGGCATCCATCTGCTTCAACTGTTGGATCTGTCCCCATCAGCAGAAAGTGATGTGTGGCTGCACCTCGGCTACTGTAATTTGCAGGACTGGCTTCAGCCACCAAGCAGGGGGCTTGGCTCTATGAAACCCAGCGGATCGTTGGCTGAAGTCACTTCAGGACAGCCGCGTGGCTCTGCTCCAGAGCCGGCAGCCCCTGGCAGCAGTGGGGTGCATCTCCAGCTGCATGGTGGCATTTCTTGGAGGTGATGTCCATGCTCTTGTAAGCTTGTTCTAGGTGGCACAAACCCACCTGGTGATGGTGATCGCAGTGGTGATGGGCTCTTTGATGAAAAAATTCAAAGATGCATTTCCTTCGTGCACCGTGAAGAAAGCAAATGCCTGAATACCTAAAAGGAAGGGGATGGTGGAGATGAACACTGCTCCAGGACCTCAGCTGGGGCAGAAAGCTTGTTGAGGTGGTTTGACTGTTCTCACTGCTGTACATAGAGTGCTTTAAAATGCCTGAAAAGCAGCGGCATGAGTAAAATCAGGATTAAAATGGAGAATTTTATCTGCTGTGTCCGTGTAAGTGAAGTTCTGTTCTTACATTGGTCTGTGACATGCAGAGATGATTGCTGAGGCAATGACCTGAGGTCTGCACCCTCCTAAACCTTAGAAATCTGTCTTAGGAATCTGGATCTAAATGTTGCATCTTGCGCTTATCTCTAATAATATGTTAATTGCTTTAAAAAGTGATATCGAAGTGGTTCTTATTAAATATATGATTTGAGCCTTGCCTCTTGAGTGATTTTAAAAAGATTCACTGTTGATGAGATACAGAGGCAGTCATTCTTCTCTGTTACTTATTTAATAGAAAAGTGCTGCTGTTTTAATGGAACTTCCATTTTAAAAAGAAATGGAAATGAAGGAGAAATCAAGAGAGATGGCCGATGCAGATTAACCTTCCGTTTCAACCATCCGTGCCGGCTGCCACTCACCAAGATAATGCAATTACATTCAAGAAGCTGAAAAGAGATGTTACGTGGTAAAACAGCATCGCTTGCAAATGTGCCCAGGCTGGATGTTTCTAAAAGTAACCTGAAGCTTGGGGCACTCCTTAGACCGAGTTTTTGCATCCATATTGTCCTAAACCACAGGTCAGCTGGTGATGTGGTTCCCAGATAAGGACAGCAAGGTACAGGTAGTTACATGCCCACATAGCAGTGAGGTATGTCTGTGTGTGCACCCTACAATAAAGGCATTTTTTGTTGTAAGAGCAGCAGCTCTCCCACCTGAGCTGAGGACACAGCAGGCTGTTACCATGAGTCCAGGTAAGTATGGCCTCCAGCCTTGAGCTTGTTTCTGCAGAGCGTGCTCAATAAAGCTCCATCACCCCTCCTGAAGAATGACTCGAGATGGATGGTACAAAACCTGTGTTTGTGTTGGGTGCATTCTGCATGCTCAAGGCTCTCTAGGAGAAAAGGCCCAGGCTAGAGAACTGCATGATCCCATGTGGCTTCCAGCAGATAGAAGTCAAGCACAAACCTTTGCTCCTTAGATCCCCTTAGCAGGACCTTTGTGCTGGGCAGAGAGCCAAACTTGCAAAAAGTTCCCTCTAATCCCTCAAATGAAGTTAGACTGCTGTCATTTCAAAGTCATAGGTTTAACTTGTGGATTCCCCATTGCAAAGCCTCTCTGCTTTGCCACCGAGCTATTGGGGCACTCATCCATGCTAATGGATACAGAGTTAAGCACTGTGCAGGGTGAAATCAGGCATTTTGAAATCTGCACGACCTTTGCAGATGAGAAACTATCTTGCTTTACGTTGAGGAGTGGGGAAAGCAAATGTGACCACTGGGAATCTCAGCTGGCTTTCTAAGGATGTTAGGATGAAGCATTAAGGGGAGTTCTCTGTTGTGGTAAACCAAAATTATCTGCAGATGGTCCCTAAGTATTGGAAAAACTTAGTGCCATGTTTAGGGACATAAACCCTTGAATCCCCATCAGCCAAGTGACAGAAGGGTGTGGTACTGAGCTCCTCAGTGTATTTACTGAGAAGCCAAGGCCTCCTAGTGGGGGTGATCCTGTGTTTCTGGAGGAGGTTATTCCTGGAATCATACAACAGTTCCACTGTGCATATAAATCAGAAAAGTCCCATATTATTAATGGCTTTGACTCTTCCTACAGGCAGGAGCCAGGCATCACACTGAGGCCTGTGAAGCTGCTCAGGTCATTCAGGTTTGCAGCCAAGTCAGTGTTGGTGGGACCAGGGTCTCAGCTGAGCGTTTTGCTTAGTAACATCAATGGCATCCTTCTAGCACCACACTAAAACAAAATGGGATGGCAGAAATTTCAAGCTTGAAATCCAAGCTCAGCAGTCTCTACTTACCCAGGACACTTCGGTGAGAGCAAGCAGGTTAACACGTCCCATCCCCTGGGGATCACCGTGATCAGTACCCAGCGATGTCTCACTGGGTGCAGCTCTCAGGGGCCCCAGCTGAGGCTTTGGCTCAGGTGCTTTGGGTCACACTTGGAGGTACCAAAGACACCTGCAGGCCGTGTGTGCTCAGCAGGAGGCAGCACTGTTCTTTGGGAAAATAACACCGGGCATTAGCTCTGATATCACCTGAAGAACTCAATATTTATTCTGAAGGCATGCAGGAATTGTTGCCTACAACAGCTATCCCAATCCACTGTGTCAAGTGTTCTTCCTCTGGCAGAAGACAAAATAGCAGGAAGAAAGATTGTATAAGCCACAGAGCCTTCCAGAGGAGGAGTTTCTTATTTTATTCCCATCTGGTGGCTACGAGACGTGATGGGTAATAGCTCTCCAAATGTATTTCCTGGCTATTGTAATTCTAGGTTTTATTGTTATAGGCAAGTATTTCATAGTTAGGCAAGAACCCGTGCAGGAACTAATTTCTTACTGTGCTCTTCAGAAATCACAGCCGGGAGGAAAATAACAGCAGAGTGGGGACAAGGTGATTTGCTGTGCAGAGCTGCGGAATTGGCACCCAGCAGTAAACTGGTAACAACTTCTGGCATTTTGAGAGCAGAACAGCAACCGTGAGCATCCTCTGAGCCTTGCAATCCCCTTCCGAGGAGGCGGGGTTATTTCCCTGGGCCCCAAAACTGTGCTCGGGACCTCATCCTTAGAAAGCTCCCTGGCAGCATGTGCCCACGCGGGGATGCAGCAGAGCTTCCCCATGGGTCAGTGGCACAGGCAGGAGCTTCCTGCGGCTGTGGGGATGCTGAGCTGGGGGGGCACCTTGGCTGGCTGCGAGGCGCCCACCCAGCTGCTCTCCCTCTCCTCTCTGCAGCAGGGCTGAGGGGAGATAAGACAGAAGAGCTTGTGGGTGGAGATAAAGACAGGGAGATCGCTGCAATGACCGCCACAGGCAAAACAGACTTGACTCAGGGAAGAATGATTTAATTTTTATGCTGGATAAAAATGGAGTAGGATGATGAGAAACAAAAACTGGCTGCAGCTTCCTTCAGGCCGTACCCAGGTGGTGTGGGGTCCTCCCAGCTGCAGCGTGGGTGGGTCTCTGCCCCAGGTTCCTGTCCTCAGCATGGGCTGCAGCAACCTCTGCCCCGGCACCCGGAGCTCCTCTGCCTTCCCCCTTCACCAACCTCGCTGCCTGCAGGGCTGTTGCGCTCACTTTTCTTCTTGCTCCTCTCTCTCAAAGCTGCCACACAGAGTTTTTTACACCTCCTTAATTACGTTATCACAGAGGCACCACCAGCTCTGCTGCTGGGCTCAGCCTTGGCCAGCAGTGGGTCCGTTTGGGGACTGGCTGGGTCTGAGTCCGACCCTGCCCTGCCCCGTGCCCGCCTGCCCAGCCTGGTTCCTGGGGCCAAGCAGGAGCCTCCACAGCCTCGGGGGTAAAGCAGGGGCAGCTCTGGCTGAGGGAGGGATGCCTTTCAGTGCAAAGGTGCGTTGCCCCTTGCTATGTTTTCTGCTTTGGTGCTATTTTTGTTCCACTTTCCCTTTGTCTTTAGCGCTGTCTTGTTTTACTTTTTGTGACTGGGGCGGCCTTGCATTCCTCTCTTTGTTCTCAGCAGGTGTTTGCTCCATCTCTGTCCTTGCTTGCTCATTTATTCGCCATGTGTTTTCTTTTATTTGCTCTCACTTTCCTTTGCTATTTCTTTTGATTGCTTATTTCCCCTTCTGATTTTTTCTCACTCTTTCTTATTCTTTTCTGTTTCATCTCTTCTTTTTTACTCTTGTTGCTTCCCCTTTATGCGTGTTCTCTCTCCTGTTGTTTTGATCTTGGTACATCATTGTTTCGCTGCTTAGATTCCCCATCTCCCATTTTCCTCTCCAAGTTTGCTTTTTGAGTTGGAACTGAGTCAATCTGTGTTTTTTATGTCTTTAAATTTTAATCACAGCGCCTATATGCCAAATCTTTTCTTTTATTGCTCATACATAGGCATCGGCACAGCGAGTTACAGCAGCTGGTACCCATCCTGCCTCTGCCAGCTTTGTGGTGCTTTGACACAGGTGGGGTGGTGATCGCATGGCCAAAGTGGTGTTTTCCAGCCCTTGTGACCCCCCTGCCATGAAAAGGTGTGGGCAGTGAGTAGATCCTGCAAACCTGTGCTCCTTCAGTGCAAGGGTCCGGATGGCCCAGGAAAGGGGTTACAGCCAGATGTGGGTCTAAGAACCTGGGCTCACTGCAGGCTGTGATTTTGAATAAGGGGAAAATACAGTAAAAACACACAAATACTCTACCAGCCTTTGTGCTTCCTCTGATGAGCTGAATGAGAACAGAAGAAATGTTCAGGTCCTCCCATCCAGACACCCTGTACTACAGTAGTCAGCGGTGGGGCCATAAGCACATGCCACACCAAGGGAGAAAGCCAGGAGCTGCACAAGGAGGGGAGAAAAGTCAGGAAAGGGAGATGGAGAGACTAGGTCTTGGGTTCAGTGATCAGGAGATGGGGAGATACCTGGGGTAGAGCTGTCTTTGGCCCTGAGGAAGGCCCCAACCCAGCATGGGACCTCAGGACTCAGCCCTGCCATGCCCAGCCCCAGCCCCTGGGTCACCACCACCTGTGCCGTGGGTCATCCCCAGTGCATGGGGCTGGGCCGGGAGGCACCAAGCACCTCGTGCATCCCTGCAGGGTGGCTGTCCCCAGGCCCCTTCCCAGCCCACGTTCATCCCACCTGGTCCTGGGCAGCCACTGCTGCTTCCTCAATGCTTCCTCAGGCATCACCATCCTCGCAGTCAGAAATGGTCTTCACACGTCTAAGGTGAGTTTTCCTGCTTGAACGGCAAGCCTGAGCCTTTCTGCCTGCCCTAGGCACAAAGGGGAGGCTGGAGGGATAATTTTTCCTGCCATTTGCATTCACCTTTTTGACATCTGCAGCCAGGTGTTTTGTTTCTCCTGGTGCAGAAAAGGGCAAGCTGCGGCTCTGTCACGCTTCCTAGCCCCCAAATCAGCAGCTGCCCCTCACTCACCCATGACCACTGGAGCCGGGAACCGTCCCTAGCCGGGAGCATCCCAGGGAGGAGGCAGTGAGGGACCACCCGGCTGCTAAGCCCACCGCCCGCCCGGCACCACCAGGGGAAAGCGTGGCCCCACTGTAAATCATAAACCCAATTAATTATAGGCAATCTATAGAGCAAGGTCACGCTCTCACATTTACTTTCCCACTAGAATAATTTCGTTGACCTCCCCTGTTTAAGTGTAACAGCTCCTGCTGAGCTGCTTTGTTGCAGTTGATAGCAAGATAATTATAATCCCATCAGTGGTTAAACTGTTTCAATAGGCAAAAGACACACTCTTCAGGCCTTTGATGGATATCTAACAGCTCCCAGAGATTTGATATTAATCAGCTGCTATCTCTTGACTGCTGGGAGGCAAGTGATCAGTGACAATAGCTGGTGAGGGAAAACATGATTTTTCAGAGATGCGCATGTAAAAAAAACAATGTTGTGAAAGGAGAATGCTTCTGGGCTGCATCCCGGTGGCTGTTACCCGCTCCAGCATGGCTCACTACAGATGCGGCCTTGGAGCTGGGAATGCAGCTGGAAATGTTGCTCCGAGCCCTTGCTGATCCCGGTTAGCACCAATTTTCTTTTGCTGCGGGTGAGGGGATGTGACAGAGCGTCTGCCTGGCCTGCTGCAAGGAGGGGGGATTTGTCATTAACTGTGCATGAATTATTCAGCGGTCAGAGTTGCAAGGTAGAGTAAAAAATGCTGGTTAAAATGTTACTTGAGATTTAATTGCATATGAAATCAAGGCCCCAAAGCATATGAGTCCTTCCCGGGAAAAGGTGGCAGGTAAAAAGTATTCGTCATTCAAGCCTTTAAAAATCAGAGTGCTTAAAACCTTAAAGCCAAACTAGCTGCTTTACATGTTTTAATGAATCTCCCCCATGCTAAAAATTTGTGCGTGAAATTGCTGAAAGCAATAAGCTCATCCATTTCTCTGCAATTTTGCTATTAAGCTGCAATGAGACAGACAATCGAGTCAATAATGCTAATACTGTTATTTGAAAGAAGTCAGCTGGGCTTTGAACAGGAAACTCCTCTTGCGTAGCAAGGAGTTTTGCCCTAAATACTTGGGATCTTAACCTATGTAATAGCATCCTGTAATACATCTTGTTAAAACATGGGGCTTCTGTGAGACTCCAAATAGCGGAACAGTGCCCAGAAAGTGTTACTGTTTTCTAATGAGGCTGATTTTATTGTTGTTATTATTATTATTAAATCTTGTTAGGAGTACATAGAGTTCTGTTGCTTTTTCTTTAATTATTATTATTTGTGTGTAAACATTGAGAGAGCTTGTTGTAACCATTGGCCTGGAAAACTACCTGGGAGGTGTTTGCTCTCGCTGCAGCGTTTCATGCTTCATGACTGTTATTTTTCAGCTTTGCTGTATGCAGTGCGCTCCAGCCATTTATTCCAAGACCCTGCACACCCTGAACCACACAGGTACCCTCGTGCTGGGAGCTGCGTGGAGACATTGAAGCACCTGAGATGGAGCCAGGTAAGAGCATTTGGGCACAGTCCTACAGCAGGGAAGAGCTGCATTTGCTCTGAGGCTGGGGAGATGACCCTGGGCAGTGCTCCTCTGCCCACCCTGATGCTGGTGCCCAGCTCGAGCACCCGACCAGGGGCAGGCTGCTTTAGGCATTTGCTAAACTTGAGGTTCTCTAAATAGCACGGAGGGGCTGCTTTTAGGTGCTTCGTGTTTTGACTGTGTGCTTCATTTGCTCCAATCTTGTGTATGAGCAAGCAAAGCGTGGCCATCTCCTGGCTTAGCTGGAAAGCTGCTGCTCTCCCCTTTGCAGCAAGGCTCCTGTGGGGCCATCAAACTTGTAAGACCCGGTGGTGCTGGCAGATGCCTCAGAGCTGCTTCCTTCTCTTGGGTGGCCCCACCAAGGTGGCCAGGGAGGCCACCTCTTGCCCATGGGGCTGATGTCACCGAAGTGCAGGCCTTGCCCCATGTCCCAGGGCAGTGCCCTGCATGTTTACTTCTCCCTCCTGGAAGGGAAACACACCACAGTGAATGTGAAGAATAATTAAAAAAATAAATAATAATAATAAAAAAGGCAAGTTGGAAGTCAAAAGTGCAAGAGGAACCCTTTGGGGAGGTGTACAGGATGGGTGTCCCCATGGGAGGCCGGGTCCCCAGGGGCACTGGGAGGCCGCAGCCCCACACAGGCAGAAGGAGCGGCCACGCAGGGACTGTCACCAGTGGCATGGGGTGAGGGGTTGTGCCCTCCCGCAGCATCGGTGCTGGCTGCGACCCCACAGGGCTCACCCTGCACATGCAGTGAGGTGCCACCCGTGTGGATGGGGACGTTTGTGCTGTGTCCGCTGGGCTTCCTGCCGCCCCATACCACAGATGAGCATCTCTGCCCACACGGGTGCTGTGAGGGAAGCTTCTGTGTGGGCTCGGCACGTCTGTGCGAGATCACTGCACAGCGATGAAAACTGCTTCCTCAGTGCCACCGTGTGCCTGAAACCCTAACAGCCTGGCAGTTCCACAACATTAAAAAGCACAGGGTGATAGTAGGGTTGCGAGCAGCCCAGGACTTGCCTACAGGGCTAGCAAATCCTAAATGGGAGCAAAAACATGGCTTTGGAACAATGGTGCAAATGGTTCCTTGGTGTGCAGTGGTGCCCTGCTGACTACGTGCCTTGTACTTGGACCAGGGAAGTTGGGCTTTGCCTTACTGAAAGATGCCTGTAAAGCTGGTTTATGCTTGCACAGATGGAGGCAGGAGCATGGGACAAGGCGCTCTGCCTGGCATGCACCCGGTCTGGAGTTATCTGCTCAGTAAATACAGCAAGAGCTGGCAATAAATAGCAATGTGGACAGTGTGTCTGAAATGTGGGGCCCTTAGCAGGAGGCCTCCTGTGGAGGTGCTCTCCTGGGGTCAGCCACGAGGCCCAGCTTGCTGTATGCAGAAGGCAGATGTGTCATGGTGCACAGCACCTTTCCACTCCAGGTTTGTCTGCCCCCCCTTATTTATTCCCAGTCCCTAACTGCAGCAGTGTCCCAGCCATAGTCTATCAAACAGGGATTTACAATTTCAGACAAGGAGGGATGCTGCTCTCTTGAAAGGCCCCGTGGGAAAGGAAAGGGAATTGTCCTGCCTTGGGATAGCCAAGCTGGACGTGCCTGGTGGGAACATGGAGCTGCAGATCCAGGCTTCACCTCCAGATCCAGCTCTGCCCACTTTTGACCCGGGTAACTTCTGTGATATTTGCCTGCCCCAGCCCACTGCAGGGAGAGGTGAGGGACACACCACCCCTGATGCTCTGCAAGTGTGTTATCATCAACACTGCTTTAGTCACAAATCCGACACACAGCACCATACAAGCTGCCATGAGGGAAGTTAACTCCATCCCAGCCCAGAACAGCACAGAAGTTTAATGACAATTTTTGGCAGATTCTCAATTAACAAGTGTAAATTCAGGAACTCCGGTGCCTCTCAACTTCCTCACAACGAAGCAGCAGCTGCTCACATGGGTTATAATGCAAGCACGAGGTGCCCAGGAAAAAATCATGAGTTTTTAAGATGTGATGTTGTCAGGTGCTGTCCTGACTGACTCAAATGCTTTTTGTGGCTGCAAATGCAAAGCCAGTTGCAAACCTGCATTGACAATTGCTCTTCTTATCTGCTTTGTGGATGGTGCTTGGCTGAAAGCACACGGTATGGGCGGCAGAGCTGGCCGGCTGCAGTGCTTTGTGAGCCTGGAGCCTGGGGCTGCTGCTCTGTGCCAGCAAGTGGGCACTGCGGCTTGTGAGCGTTGGGATTGCAGCTGTGTTAGTGACCCGTGGCATTTCCACATTGCCCAAGTGTGAGAAGCAGGCCAAAAACATCTCTGCCTGCACCCAGCCTGTCCCTTAGCTGTGCCTGGACTGTTGGGGCTGAAGTAGTCTTTCATTCAAGTGAATTTGTTCCAAAAAGACAAAGAGGCTCCATCTAGTTGTGAAACTGAGTATTTAGCAATAGCCTTAACACTTCTGTTTGGTGTTCATGGCAAGTCGGCGTTAGGGAGTGGTTCCCACATGTTAAGGCTGAGGCAGGAGGGAGGAAGAGCAGGCGGGGTGGTTTCTCCTGGCTGGTGTTTGAGCCTATTGCTCACTGCAGGGCCGCAGCAACCTGTGTCTTCTGGGGTCCTGCTGTGCCCCCCAGCCATCCCCAGGACTGCCACCCTTCACATGTCCCCATCTCAGCCCAGCAAGATGGCCCTGCTCACCAGGAAGGGCCACGCTTTTGGGGACTGGCTCTGGAGAGGTCTTGGACTTTTCCAACACAGTCTCATGTAAGCCTAATAAAGTCCATCTGAAATACTTCGCAAACCATCAGGGGGAAATGTCAGAGCAGCATTGGAGGCATCTCTGCACATTGCAAAATACAGGACGGTCTTTAAAATCTGCCATTTGTACAGTAGAATCTGGGGGGAAAAATGCCCGGATTGAATAAAGTCTCTAAAACACTCCGAAGACCAGAGCAGATCATCCGGCATTAAAACAAACCAGCCCAAAAGAAATGTGTTTCCCCTGCTGAGCAGGCAGCGGGGGCTGGCGGGCGGTGGGGACCTGCTGCAGGTGGGCTCTGCGACACTGGCCCCAGGAGAAGCAAAGTCCCAGAGCGCTCCTGGTAGAGGTGCTATGAATAATCGATGGCAGGTTAATTATTCAGACACTTGGAGACGAGAGATGGGTGGTTTAATATTTTAGAACGGAGTCATAGATCGTTTGAGTTTCCATCCAAGAGCTATTTTTGACAGCTTGTTGTGCAATTGCAGCTTCACATACCAGGCTGTGATGCAGCAGGGAGGGCTCTTGCAGCAGCTGGGAGCTGAGCAAGGGGCTTGCACGGCCCGTGAAAAGGTGGCTTTGCCTTCAGCAGTGCTTCCCTGTGCTCATGCACTGTGCTGCGGCCTCTGGTGTGAGCCACTTGTGATGGCATGGACTATTACAGGGGCACAGACACGTAAACCAGTTCACCTATGCAAGTCCTGAGCTCCCTGAGATGCTGAGCAGGAGCGCGCACTGAGAAAAACAAAACAACAACAACAACAACAACAAAACACTTGAAAATTGCACTAGAGGTGTGTTTTTTTGTTTGTTTTGTTTTGTTTTGTTTTTGTTTTCTTTCATAGTAAGAACAAAAGACCTTGAAAAAAGGTCACTGGTGCAGCAAATGAACTGTCTTCTCCACAGGCTTCCCAGCTTTGGTCTTCTCTTCCTTCTCTGGGTCTTGTTTTCGTGGTCTCCCTTGCCAGCACATCTTGCACAGAGTGAGGAGGGGCAAAACCGAGCAGCCGCGTGCTGCTGGCTGACTTGCCAGGCAGAGCTGATCGTGCCAGCTGAGTGGAGAGGACGTCAAAAACCTTCAAAGAGACTAAATCACCCCTCGTTCCTTAGCAACACACAGGCGTTTTGCAGAGAAAAGATGTAGCTGGAGCTATTTTGGCTTTTCCTTTTTTTGCTTTCCCTGCCCCTAGGTCCTTACAGTCTTACCACAAGTAATTGGATGATGAGAGCACAAGTATAGCAATGTCCTCCTTCCCTCCTGGGTGCCCGTGGTGGACACGGCTGTATTTGAAGTCTCGCTGCTCTTCTCATCCCTGGAGTACTATTTATCTTTGGCCTCAAGATCTCCAACAGCTGAGGTGCAGGAAAAAAAGAAGAAGAAAAAAAAAAAAGACCCAAGTGAAATAGGCAGGAAAGGCACCCTCCAGGAGGGGTCCTGCAAGGAAGTGACCAACAAGGACCTCCAAGGCTGGGGACAACTCACCCTGGTGTCACAGCAGCCTCCTTATTTCCAGGTTACGTCGTTTGTCAAACAGGAGTCATCCTCTGTGTGCCTGTAAAGGCTGCAGGGACCTTAACTGAAACTTCTAGCATTTTGAAGGGGAAGGTTTACTGCTCTTGTGGGAGCATCATGTCTTCTCTGTTTCTCCATTTCTAAAGTTTCTTTACAGCGGTTATGGAGCCTGCCAGCCTGGACCTAACAGGCCTCTGCTACTCTTCTCAAATAAACACATTTTAACTTTCCACCACAAGAGGTCCTCAGGATCCCAAGGCAAAAATATCTGCATGTATCCGGGAGCAAGGTTTGGAAATGGAGTGTTATGTTTTTAAAGAGAAAATCCAGCTAGTATCCAGGTGTTGGGCAGGAAAGGTCACTCCCTCTCCCAGACATGAGCCATCCCACAGGTACCTTGCTGTTTGGGTTTGGACCATTGGGGTGAGATTTCAACCTTTCTTTGCAAATGTGAGAGGAAGCCAAGGTCCTCACAGCTTCTGCTCCAAGAGAAAGCCAAACTGGGGGAAAAAAAGTGAGTTTTAAGCAACAGGATGCAGAAGGGCTGGCAGCTGTAACAAGGTCATTGCCTCTACAGCAGCTGGGGTCACTTCAAATGCTGTGATCGAGTGTCCACACAGTCCCAGCTTTTTTCTCCCTTCCTTGTTCTTCAGTATTTTATATCCCTGCTTTGAGGCCAAATGCATTTCCATTAACA